GCTCAGGCTAATGTGGCCTTAGTAAAGCAATCACACAGGCAAGTCAAGTTTGAATATCTCACTCAGTCTCAGGATCCCCCAAGGCCCCTGTCATTACACTCATGCATCTGGGAGGAAGATCACAACCTCATCAATACTCACTTGCACTTCCAGGGTAGAAACATGAACTAATGTTCTTTTAACCACTCAAGGATTAGACCCAGGGTAGAGGGAATGGACTCGTTAAAATGATAAGAGACATAGATCCCTCTACATATAGCATTCTAGAGTGGGGCCACTATCACAATATAGATATTTTACATCCTGACACTTCAACTCCATGCCCCTTCTTCGTAATGCACCCAAAATGAAGTCCACAGATCTTTCCAGTTTAAGACCTGGCAGGAAAATTAATTCCTTTTCCTGCTGATTACAGGAACCAGGACTGCTGTCTTTTAGCTGAGGTTACTGATTGCTCCCTGTTCTCCCCTCATCCCACACTTGGCCCTTCCTATTGGCCTGTGGGTCTTTTGCAGGTGCAGAGGATGAGGGGGGAGAACATCACCAAGGTCAGCACGTTCATCCTGCTGGGCTTCCCCACAGCCCCTGAGTTGCAGTACCTGCTCTTCCTCCTCTTCCTGCTTGCCTACCTCTTCGTGCTGGTGGAGAACCTGGCCATCATCCTCACTGTCTGGAGCAGCGCCTCTCTCCACAGGCCCATGTACTACTTCCTGGGCTCCTTGTCTTTCCTAGAAATCTGGTATGTGTCAGACATTATCCCCAAGATGCTGGATGGCTTCCTCCTGCAGATGAAATGCATCTCTTTTGCTGGTTGCATGACGCAGCTTTACTTCTTCATCTCCCTGGTGTGCACAGAGTGTGTACTCCTGGCTTCCATGGCCTATGACCGCTATGTGGCCATCTGCCATCCCCTGCGCTACCAAGTCATCATGACCACGGGGCTGTGTGTCCAGCTCGTGGCCTTCTCTTTTGCAAGTGCTTTCACAGTCTCTGTGATCAAGGTCTACTTCATCTCCAGTGCCACCTTCTGTGGCTCCAACGTCTTGAACCACTTCTTCTGTGACATCTCCCCTATCCTCAAACTGGCCTGCACCGACTTCTCTACTGCAGAGCTGGTGGACTTCATTCTGGCCTTCATCATTCTGGTGTTCCCTCTCATAGCCACCATCCTCTCCTATGGACACATCACCCTGGCTGTGCTGCGTATCCCTTCGGCCACAGGACGGTGGAGGGCCTTCTCCACCTGTGCCTCCCACCTCACCGTGGTCACCTTCTTCTATGTGGCCATGATTTTTATATATGTGAGGCCACAGGCCATCGATACCCGGAGCTCCAATAAGCTCATCTCTGCTGTGTACACTGTCCTTACACCCATATTAAACCCATTGATTTATTGCCTAAGAAACAAGGAGTTTAAGGACGCCCTGAGAAGGACGCTGGGATTGGGTCACACTCTATAGTAGAGCATTACATGCTCTAGAATCCAAATTGTGGTGTAAAAAGTTCCTTGTATAGCACCTAATGTTCTTTCAATTTTTTAATAAAATTTAGTACAAATATAGGGCTAGCTACAGTATTGGGCCTTCATCCAAATATATTTTCTCAGTGTAGTCTCAGACAACTTGCTACTATGTAGATCAGGTGTTAGCGTCCACCCCTAGGGAGCCCCTCTGCCTTGGAAGAACCACTATGGTGGTTTCTAGGGCCAGAGAGTAGCTTGGGTATTTTGAAGGTTTTATGAATGCAATCACTCAGCACGTACACTTTCATGTATTGCTTTGGTTCAGCATCATACATTTGGGTCTTCCTGTCTTTGATGGTAGCAATGAATCACGAGTTGTTGCTCAATAGTATTCACATATATGTCAGCATGAAGTTCTGTATTTTGTTACTAGCTGACAGTATTGTGGATGCTATCAGAATGGTAATGTTGCTATATGTAATCCAGGCAGTCTATTGTACTGATACTTGGGGAGATACCCAGAACTGTATCTAAGCCAGGCCTAGTTACATATAGGGACCTGAAGAGACACAAGATATATATATATAACCAGCTTGAGTAGAAACTGAAAAACAGTTTTCTAACCTCTATGTGCCAGTTTTCCTCCTAATAGCAGTATACGACAATCCCAACGGTTCCACACCAAGTACAAAAGGTTGTGTTGCTTATGTGTTTCAGTTCAACCTTTCTTCTGGGTTCCAAAGTTGTCTCAATGTGGCTTAAATCTACATCCTCCAAATATCCCATTTTCCTGCTTTCTTTCTTGTTACTATGATAAATCACTTTGAGGAATGTAAGTTTACCTGGCTCATAATTCCAGGTTACAGGCATCCTTGCAAAGAAGTTAAGGCAGCAGGGACAGGAAGCAACTAGACGTTCCCACTGTACACAGCAGACTGTAACATGATGGGCCAGCTTGTTGGGGTTTCTGTCCTGCCCAGTACCCCATAGCCGGCAAGCCCCAATAAAAATCACACACAACACTCCATAAGATTATAAACTGATTGGTCCATTAGCTCAGGCTTCTTGTTAATTCTTATAGCTTATATTAACCCATTATTCTGATCTATGTTAGCCATATGGCTTGGTACCTTTTTCAGCTGTAAGCTCACATGTTGCTTCTTCAATGATCTGGGCAGGAATGGCGGAGGGAGCTTCTTCCTCCCTAGCCTTCTCCTATTCTCATTGCCCTTCCTCTACTTCCTGTCTGGTTGACCTGCCTATACTTCCTACCTGGCCAATCAGTGTTTTATTAAAATACATGATTGACAGAATACAGACAATTCTCCCGTACCATTTCCCTCTTTTTTTTTTTTAAACAAAGGAAAATACCCATAGTCCATTTGTTGGGAATGTGGGCACAGTATTTCAGGCTACTTCCGGTTGGTTGGGGGCACTGATAATCTTATGGGGACCTAAAGAAAGTTTAGTTATAATCAAGTCCTGACTGAAGTATCCTGTGATACCTGATCATCTCAGGCAGCATCTTGAATCCGTTCTGGATGTAGAACTCAGACATCTGGGTCATCTGTTCCTACCGGAGGTTTTCAGCTGGTCTTACTTAATCAAACTGGATTTTTCTTAGCTCAGAATGAATCCACAGCCTCTCATTTACTGTGGAAACAAAAGCAAAATCTCTTCTCCAAAGTAGCATACCTTTTGACTTCAATTTGGAAGCCAAGGTATTTTCAAAATATCTATCTTGGATTAATTCAGCAGCATTTATAAGCAAATATCTTTTAGCAGCTGGTGCTCCTTTCTCAGCATTCAAACAATTCAAAGAGAGCATAATAACACACAGTATCAAGATTCTCTGTGCATTTTCCATCTTTATTGGCTTTATTTTAACCTCTATTTTATTTTTTTTTCTTTTAACTTTGGATTTTGAGACAGGTTCTCTGTATAAATCTTTGTCCTGGAATAACTCTGTAGACCAGGCTGTCCTTGAACTCACAGAGATCCTCTGTCTCTGCCTACCCAGTGCTGGGCTCAAAGGTGTTTGCAACCACACCTTGAACTCACAGAGACCTGTCTGCTCTGCCTCTCAGGCATTGGGATTAAAGGTGTGTGCTACCACACCTTGAAGTCACAGAGGTCAATCTACCTCTGCCCTTTGAAGTCACAGAGGTCAACCTACCTCTGCCTCACAGGCATTGGGATTAAAGGTGTATACCACCACACCCAACTACTCCCTTTTTTTCTTTTTTACTTTTAAGAACCTTAACCTTTACCTGCAAATATTTTTAATACATAGTAAACCATTTAGATATTTTCTCATCTCTTGAATCTCTCTTTACTGTATCTCTCTCTCTTTTTCTGACCACATGAGTCTAAAAAACCGTGGCTTTGACGGCTGGATCTAGCCCATTCCTTGGCTTTCCAGCCTCATGGAAGAGGTACTGCTGGAGCCATTTTTACTGCCACAACTCTATGGTGTTTCAAGGTCCCTGCCAGCAAGCAAGTTTAAATCATGCATTCAGCTTTTCATCAACACCGTCTAAGTGTTTCGTGGCAGGACCTCTTAATGAGCTACAAAGTTTTGCAGCTAAAGCTGAGTCAGGAAGCCTCTCTTAGATGAGAGAATTTGCTTGCCTCTGACAAGCAGAGCAGACCCGAGAAATTGCTGCTACCAAAAAAAAAAATGCTGTACTCTATTCTTTCCCAAACTTTCTCAAGCTTTCTGTGGATTCAGTTATCCACGTGGGCACCATATGTAGCATGAGGGACGGGTTGTTGGGGTTTCTGTCCCACCTGGTACCCCACAGCTGGCAATTCCCAAAGAAAATAACACAGAGTCTACATTAGGTTGGAGGGAGCTTCCTGCTTCCTAGAATACTCCCAGTCTCTTTGCTCCACCTCTACTTCCTGTCTGGCTTTCCCACCTATAATGCCTGCCTGGCCAGTCAGCATTTTATTAAAATACATGATTGACAGAATACAGACAATTCTCCCGCACCAGCAGACAGAGAAGAAATGCATGTATGTTTGTATTCATCTCATTTCCCCCTTTATACAGTTTAGGATATAAACGTAGGACACGACCACAACTCAGCCTGATATTGAGACCCCTTATCAAGACTCCCATCCCAGGTGCTTCGACCTTGTGTGAAGTTAGCAGTTGCATCTAACCGCTACCTTCACAAAGGGTGGCGATTTAATAACCTACGTCCTTTAGTGGGAAAACACCACACACGAGATCCTGACTGTCTTCCTGGGTGACAGGTCTCAAAAACTTAACACTATTTAGGAGCTATAACAGGAAACTGGTAACAGTCACCTCACCGTTTGTCTGTAATCTGGATGACTGTCCTGTACCACAGCTTCACAAACTTGGGGTTTTAAGAAGAAAGCTTCAAGATCTCAGTCGCTGAGCCCTCTGTGGAGCCAAGCTTACACATCCTTTCAGATATCAGGAGCACAAGTTCTGCTTGTTAAGAAGGCCATTCTTCCTGAGAGGATAGAGACAGAGCTGTGGAAAGTACTAGTGTTTCTTCTCAATGTCAGCCTTGGTATATGCAGCACAAAACCCTGCCTTGACATTGATTGACGCATGTGAGCCTCATTTTAATGGCGGTAAGGTGACACCTAGACAAAGGAGAGGAGTTTGTCCACGTGGGGTTGTTCCGATGACAGTCCCACTGTGCCTGGGAAGTTCTGACCCCCCCCCTCAAAGGCAGTTATTGCAGTTTCTCCACAGCTGTAAGTGTGTGTGGACATTTGCTGATTTGTCCCTAAGGAACATGACAAATGATTTCAGGAAGCTCCACGGCTGGGCTGCCTTGGGTCCTGAAAGGTTTCCCTTTGATATTAACTTCCCTGGGGACTGAGTGTCCAGTCCACCTGACAGCCTCCTTCTGAGTCTTTAGCACAGGATGCAGCAAGGGAATATATAGCTGAGGACTGTCCAGCAGAATATGTCACAGAGTGGCACCATGGGCCTCTGCTTCCGATTCTATACTTGCTGAATCAATGGCTTCTCCATCATCAGGCATCATCAACTGAAGTTGGCTGCTGTCTCGTAGACAAAGACACCTTAGATACATTCCACTCTTGACTTCTTTATGCATGAGAAATTTTACAAAACCTCCGGAACATAGGTACAAAATAGGTACCCAAACCAAGTACTTAGTGATATAAACTGTAAATAAACTTATTTTCTTAAATATTGGTATAAAAGAATCCCCCCATTTACTAAAGAAAGGAACAGACTTCTATATTTAATCACATAGATGAGCTTATTTATTTTTACACAAGGAATGTAATCTTGGCTAAATATTTGGTACTGGAGGACATAAAGAATCAACTCCTTCAATTGATTGATATCTTTATTTAGAACTTTCAATGCTGAGAATACAGCTTCACATGAATAAGTAGGACAAAATGGCAGAAGTACACTTAGCACCTTTCCATAAACTGTTGGAGGAAATTCTTGGTCTTGGAACAAAAACATTTCAACACTTTCTCATGAAACTCAAATCAATGACTCAAACAGCAATTTTATAAATAACCCATTTGAAGTCAATATAATAGAAAGATAACACTAGTTTGATTCTTACAAGCTGAGAAATAGCAGTAGGAATACATTAAAAGTCTTTGTGTACTATAATTAAAACATTGCATGTCTAAGATGGCAGAAAAGTATGCTCTTTCAGGAAAAACACTGCAGCTCATAACATATAGGAGTCTGGAACCTGAGCCTAGTCTTTCTTTGGTGTTGTGTGGCATGAGGACAAACTCAGTACATGGTATTCGTGTTGTGTTCAGAAGGAAGGATGCAGAGAGGCCACGTGATTCAGCCCAGGCTAGAGTTGTCAGCCACTCTGCATTCACTGTCCCTTTAATTTGTGCTTAGTTCTTTGTCATACATGTTCAGTAACCATTTAGTATTGCTAAGTCTTTCATGATCTCCACACTTGGTTGTAGAAGTTTGTGTCATAGAGAACTTAGGAGAGAATGGGA